CTTAAATAATTCAGATGAGTTAGCGAGTTAGCGAGTCTGAAAAACTTACAATAAAACCAAATTATTCATATACGCAGAGTTCTTAAAAACTGCAGACTTGCAAGATTTTTTTTTTTTCCTGGCAATGGCATAATTTGTAATCACCTTTTTTTTTTTTTTTTTTTTTTTTTTAACTTAAGAAAGTGTGAAGAATTTTGCATGAATAATTATCTACGAACAACTCCTGAGTTTTGTAATGCAAAATAAAATGGGTTTTACTTTAACTAAGCTGAAAAAGTATCCTACTTGCATGCTAAACTGTCTGCTTTGTCATAATGCAATATATGAAAACTTAAAAGGTTGTAATTAATTTGTAGGTGAATTTTAATCAAGATATAATTTAATTTAATAAGAATAGGAATGTAAGAACTATTGGAAATTTTGAAGAATCAATTAAAGAAACCAATGAGAGTACAAATGGAAAAGGACTGAGGCCTCATATTTTATTTGCCAAACTGATATACTGAGCTTGTGTTGACAGAATAATACAATATCTTCTTCAGACTAGAATATACCAGCACAATAAAGCATGGTCCTAGCAGTGAGCAACTGAGTAACATCAAAATAGTGTATATACTTTAAGAAACCTTCACTATTTTCCTGGATTGTCTCCTAACCGTGTATGTGCTCCATACTAAAAAAGACAACTCAGCACATTTAGAGATGATCATGATTTATTAGTTTATAACTTGCTCTCTGTTACAAACAGATACAATGACTATGGCATTACTTATAAATAACTTTTTTTTTTTTTTGCATAATTTTAGTTTTACAATGCTGTTGACAGAAATCCTTCAATTGAATTCAGTCTTCAAGTTGCAAGAACACCAGTGAAAAATCAATACTTTGTGTAGCCTTAGCACTCAATGATGCTGTACATTTGCACAAGCAGAACAATAGGGGTTTGCAGTTTGGAGATACCCAGTGACCTTCTGCCTAAGGTAGCCAAAGCTTTCCAAATTTTAAATTTCAACCAAAATATCACTGAAATATTGTCTTTCTTCATAATCAACAATCAAGTACAAATTAGGTATTTTCCAGCTAGTTCTGCACTATCAGAAATTTCTCAAACATCTTCAGTGCTTCAGAAAAGATAACTAAAGTAATATTTTCTCCCAAAAAATTTCACTGATGAGTGATTATTTTTTTTTTAAGTAAGGACCTCTATGTGAGTTAAATAAAAACCAACAACAGCTGCAACAAAGCCAAAATGCAGGCTGTGCCTAGGCTATATGAGAAACCATTAAAAGTTAAGGCAGCCCACTAAAGATGTGTGAATAAACTTAGTGATGTGTATATGTAACAGTTAGACTGCTTTAGACTGCTTCAAAGACCCCCTCATCAGATATTCTGGCAATGTTCAGTCTCTTCCACGTAACTCAGATGCTCATGTGAACTTTCTAATCTATTGCTTGTGCTTCTCAAGGAAAAATTTGGAATTAATCCTTTTTAATTTCTGACAACCACTTACAAATGATATTTGATGCGGCTAGTAATAAGGAGTATGTGAAGACAAAAAACTAAGGAGTTAAAAAAAAACAAAAAACAGGTATATAATTTTAAGATTACACTACTTCTTAATGAAGACATGACTATAACCTCTTCAGTCCTCATGTATGGGTGCTTTTACTTTTTAATTATTGTAATTTCTATCACAGTTTTGCTTCTCTTTTTTTTTTTTCAGTTAAATGAAATCATTTTATTAAAGCGAAGGATAACTTTTGACAAGTATGCTTCTGTTTAAGAAGCGAGGTAATAAAATATAACGCTAGTGAAGCTGAGGCAGGCTACAATGATGGTTTCAGGGATGTTGTCAGAAGAGCTTTTGATCTTCAAAAAATCACCAAAAGAGTTCTTTTTAAATCCACTCATGATTGTAATTTTACGAGGGCTGTCTCATTGCAGTTTAGCACTTCTTAAACACTGAATTACTAGTTTTTGGTGAAATTGAGATATAGTTTAGGCCAACTGCTCTCCACAGGCCAGCCTGGCTCAGATGTGTCTCCCTGAGAAGAGCCCATGTGAAGGTGTTCCCCCTCCACCATAATGTCTCAAACTATGTGAGGCTGAAGGAACTGATAGCAGACAGGAGGTTCAACAACTGAGGACCATGTGTCTTAACAGCATGTGTTTTAAAAGCATGTGTCTTAAAAGCAACTTATGACTGCAAGTCAATCATTTTACCCCATTTATAGTGAGCAGCATGGCACCTGGCAGCATGATAGGAGTTCCCCTTGAGCAAAGATGCCTCTTGAGGTTATGCCTGTGCAGAGATCCCTTGCATCTTGATGTCAAGAGGCCTTGCTGACACAGATCCTCGATAAGTGACTAATAGTTTGCTTTATGCTTTGTTAGTTTTGCTAAGATCACATGCTGATTGTAATCTTTGTTAGCTTTCTAAGACTGAATAGAGTGTACCTTAGATTGACTGTGCACATATAATTCCTTAGACATAAACCATTGTCCAAGTGTGGGACTAGGAGTGGATCCAGTCAAACCTAGGCTCTTTACCTCTGAAGTTCAGCGAGTTTAGAAAGCAAGGGGACCCACTCTGAACCTCATGTCTCAATGGGAGGGCCTTGTGTACGTGTGTGTTTAACCCCACTATGCAGTAAGTAATCAAATCATCTAAGTAATCAAGTCATCTTGAATCCTGTTATGTGACTGTTAAATCATTACATTATATCTATGTTATGTCAATAAATATATTCTTGCTTCTCTTTTATGAGTGAAGTGTATAGTGTAGCTTTTTCCATCTGTATCAGAACACCACAGAGCCCATTTCCAGAGACTTTCTCCCACCTCTGCTACAAGTGACATAGAGTTCAGGAGCCTCATCTGCTGCAGCAAGTCATCAACTTGCATCTCTCAGCAGGACCAATACCTGTCAGGAGGGTGAGTTCACTAAAGAAAAGCTGCCCATCTATATGGGGGAAAAAAAAGTTCACATTGTATGACTAAATCATATGCATAAGACTGTAATAAAACACAGTATCTGTATAAATCTGTCATCTGAAGGATACAGCTGGAAATGCCTGTACTTCAAACCTCTGTGCAAAAATTGCTAAGTCCTATGTTATCAGAGAATTCAGAAAGCCATCACTTACAAAATCAGCAAGTATCAGCAGTCAGCTATTGGAAATGAATACAAGCAGGAATTCAGTGGTGGAACCTTGTTTATTTTAAACATCACACCCTATTCCAGACTGAATGTTACATATTTTTGTTTTTCTTATTCACTGTCAGTTGATCATTAGACTTCTTTTTGTTGTTCATTTTTAGTGCCTTAGATTTGCTTTCTAAGCTCCCCTTTTGACTCAATGCACTTCAGGGAATATTTTAATTGTAATATGATAGTTAAGATGGATGATATTTCTTGAAGATTAAATAGGTATCCAAAAAAATCAGTGGTTCTTAGTTGCACCCTAAGAAGTGGTGCCACTCATCATTATTTGTTCAAAATTCCATGTTTGCTGATTTTTTTTTTTTTACAAAAGCAAAATGTCCTTTACATAAAGTGATACATATATTTCTCTAGTGGAGGGCTAACTTCTGGCTTTTTTCTCATCTCTTAATGTTGAGGCACAGCATGCATGTCATGTTGTTGATCTGAGATTCTTTTCTTGCTATCCAAGGCTGCATATACTAAAATGACTGTTGGAAGATACAGTGGCTCTTATTAGGAAAATGAGAGAAGTGGAAGGTGTGGTGGGTCACAAGCCAAAATGGACAACTACATCCACTTAACTGTGCTAACTGGGTTTTGAGGAAAGTGAAGTAAGGAAAGTGAAGTCTTAACTGAAATTTGCAGTAAAAATAATAATAGAATACTCACCTGGCTTCAATATTTGGCTTTAGATTAACTTTATTATGTGTAGATGTATGGGAACTGCTGAGTGTTGGAAACATCCAAATAATTTTTGTCAGGATGGTATCTCTGATAAAAGCAGATTTTATTTGCAATTGCAATGGCAGGCATCCCACAAGCCAGAGCACACCTATGGACACAAGATGACAGTCTTTATACCCTGTTTTTCCCTTTACCCATCCCCCTGCCCTGTTTCCCCATTGGCTGGGTACTCCAGGTTCAAAATCTTATCAGTTTACGTTTGTTGATCCGTGTGTTATCTGGTGTCAGTCAGTAGCCATCCTGTTGTTTCCAAGATGTTTCAGTGCTCTTCTTGTCGTATTGATATGGTGATT